ATTGTTTCTGATATGGGTAATACAAGGGCAATAGCAACTTAATATACGAATGGAGCAAAGCATGTGATGTCTATACCTACTGTCCCCCGTTCTTGAAAACATTATTCTTATTTTATTCTAAAATTTTCAGACATTCCATCAACATCCTGCCTGCCTGCAGTTTGTGATATGGCAACAACCATAAGAAGCGATTTGTCTAATATTGAACAGAATACAGCTAGTTCCTCATCTATTACTAAACAAAAAGCGAAAGGTACTTTTGATTGTTTTTGTGTAATACTATAACAACAATACATACTATTGTGCTCAAATAAATAAATAATATTACACTAGCAGGTTCTAAGTTAAGACAACCTCCATTTCTTGTTTCATCAATTTGGATAATCTTTAATGTTTCCATTTAAATTAAAAATATTATTACAACAACAGTATTTTTAGTGTAATTAGATAGATAGATGAACTCTTTATAGTGTGTTTACAGTAAGTTAGGGGGCAAAGGCAGTCTTATTGCTAAAATAATTTATTAGTTTAATGTATCTATTCAACAAACTATCTATACCGTCTATGCTTAACACAAATTTATTTTGTATTACTTTTTGCTTACAGTGTTATCTCCTAAGAGGAAGTTGAGTGCCAAAAATCGGAAACTGGTTTCCAAAATTGAAAATATAGCTAAGGATAGCATTGGCAATAATAGTGCTTTAAGAATAAATCAAGCACAAACTTTGTCCTCCTCAGAAATGCTGAAAGATTTTCATAAATTAAATAACCATACCAAAACATTTATTAAAATGCAATTAAAATCTATCAGAAGTGGAAAGGCAGCTCGACGCTATGATTTGCAGGAAAAATTATTATGTCTTACCATACTAAAGCAAAGCAGAAAAAATTATAAACTTTTAAGACATATGTTTTCATTACCCAGTCAAAGAACTTTGGCCAGATTATCCGAAAAAATAGTCTTTGATACAGGGATAAATGACAACATTCTTAGGGTAATAAAAGAAAAATCACAAAAGTGGAGCACAGACAAAAGACTTTGTTCCATTGTTTGTGATGAGGTATCTATCAATACCCAATTAACATACAACGAAGAGAAGGACATCATATATGGTTTTTCTGATATTGCTGGACAAAGAAAAATGAAATACTGCGATCATGCATTAGTTGTAATGATTCGAGGAGTATGCTCATCTTGGCGTCAACCCTTAGCTTATTATTTTTGTGAGGGTAATTATTCTTACAGTTGATGAATATTTAATATATCTTCCTCACTAGTTGATGGATATTTTAACGTAAATTATTATCTTAGTTTTTAATTATCATCTTTAAAAGAGTATAAGACTTGCTCAATTGATTTATATATGTTACAATATTTTCAGGGACCACAACTGCAGTGGAACTAAAATCTATTTTAAAAGAAGTAGTTGCAAAAGTGGCTCAATCTGGTTTGCTGCCACTGACGTTCATTTGTGACCAAGGTTCTACATTTAGAACAGCAATTAATAAATTAAGAGAGGAAACAATCCGACAAAGAACCATTGATAATATTTTCGATGGTAAGTTATAATAATTTATAAATGGTAATTTGGTAAAATGGTTCTTAAGTCATGGAATAATCCAGGACTCAAATCATCAGTAGGATCTCGCCCACTGCTGGGCATAGGCCTCCCCTTAGAGTCTCCACAATTATCAATCATGCACTACCTTTGCATAACACAAAGTTATGCAATTGGTGAGAGTTGTTAGGATATTTATTACCTATAGTTGATTATAAATATTGTTAAATTGGAAGTTCTAAATTTAAAATTTATTTTATTTCAGATGACACTATACATATATCAGGTCATGATATTAGTGTTATTTATGATCCACCACATTTAATCAAAGGTGTGAGAAATAACTTCCTTACCAAGGATATGAAATATAATTCAAAAATTGCAACATGGAAGGACATTATTACAATTTATGACATAGATAATACCTTAGGCCATTCACGGGCAATACCGAAACTGACAAAACAGCATGTGGATAAGGATAGCATGCGTAAAATGCGTGTTAGTGTTGCGACCCAAGTTCTTAGTGCACGAGTTGCAGCTATGCTGCGTTATACAGATGCTGTTGGTAAGTCAAATATATGGGCAAACAGCAAAGTTTGTCATATCTGCATCCACTTTATGTAATAAGTTAATTTTAATGGTTTTAATTATATAACAAACTAGTTTTCCTGTAGCTTACTCTGCGTCGACTATTCATTGTATTTACATATATATTAATCTTCCTCAAGAATCACTCTTATCTGTAATAGATGAAACCCCATGAAAATCTGATCGGTAGTTTTCAAGACCTGAGTGCACAGACAGACAGATATGCGGAAGACCTCATTTTTAAATATTTAGTAATATCAAACTTATATAATTTGAGAACAGTAAATTTTTATTACATATGTCTAAATTATCTTTATTATACATAAAAAAGTTTCGTTTCACTCAAATTTCGCTATATACTTATATAAGTTTTTTATTTTAGTAAAGTGTAAAGATGGCGGTTCCCTGAGTCCGACAATGGCAACAACGGCTGATGCCGTCGAATTCTTCGACCAGTTATTCGACAGCGTGAATGGGCGTCCCGGAGACAACGCCAAAGGCAAATTAAGAACTGCTGTGAAATTAAATAGTGGTCATATATCATTTTGGCACCAGGCAGTCAAAAAACTTTCCGAAATATCATTCATAGACAAAAATGGACACAATGCCTATGTCCCATCTATTCGGGGTTGGATTACTACACTTCAAAGTTTTATTAGGATCACCAAATTGCTCTTTTCTGAGTATAGCATATCTTTCTTTTATCCGCGATTCCTTAATCAGGATCCATTAGAAAACTTTTTTGGGAGATTAAGGGCAAATAATTATAGAAATATTGTGCCAGATGCTAATGCATTTATATATACCTTTAAATCTTTAGTTTTATCCAATATTTTATCACCACTTTCAAAATTTTCTAATTGTGAAGAAGATGAAGGAGATACATTAATATCGTTAGAGGCATTGTTTGAAAAAACTAAAAAAATCCAAATAATGTCTACAGACAGTGAAAATAAGGAAAACATTTCTCCAAATGTCCCAAGTACCAGTGGATCTTGCCAAACTAGCGATTTGCCTCCGGTAGTTATTGAAAAAATGAAAGTACATTGTTCAGCTTATGTAGCTGGCTATACAGGAATAATTTAAAACCACTGCGAAGATTTTGTGAAAATAAACTTTAAGTAATTTAAACAAACACGTATTTTTTATTTTGATATGTTCTAATACTAAAAAATAAAGTTATCGCTTATCAAAGATCGAGATTTTAAAACTTAATTTATGGACACCGCGCGCCGTGCGTCAGCTGAGCGCTCGCTCGACGCCGGCCGTAGGCATGTACTCGTAGGTACCTATCTACACGGGTCACTGGCCGCTCATTTTGTTAGATTCGAACTAGATTTTATGCCATGATCTGAGGTGATTTCTAAGAGTAATTCCAATTTTCCCTTCATACTTTTATGGTTAAGGCCATCACAATGCAAAAAAATAAAAGAGAAACAAATTCGTTACCTAGAAAAAAATATTAACGTTATGCCGAAGTTACATAGGTACTTCTGCGTTAAGGCGTATTTAAAAAAATTAGAATCAACTACGTATTTACAATAATGTTGAATCAAAACAAATACCTAACTAATTACTTACCATGTATTTTAATATTTGTTCAAAATGAAGTCCACGTCTGTCCAGACATAAACGTGCACATTTCATTAAATTGTCATTTAATTTGTTTAAAACACTAGTGTCACTTTTCACTTCACTGAAAGCGTTATTATTTTTTATTGTTAGGTCTTCTAGACTTTGTGCCTCCTCAACATCTCGGCGTTTGACTTCTTCCCATAAGAAAGAGTCCCTCACGTGTGAACAATGCCTCATCCGTCCACAAGATGTTTGCATCGCGGTGATGTAGAAGCCACTCACATAAGGCTCGACGTGGTACTGGGTCTAGGTCATGGAACTGTTGAACCGACTGAAAGTGGTACGGATGGAGTCCGGCTGTTTTTAGCAGCTTCAATACCGCAGGCTGGCTCACACCAAAGAGACATGCCGCATCGTGGGTACTGACTCTGGGACTTCGTCTGTTAAAATGGTTCGAAGCATTAGGGACCGCGGGGTTACGGATCCCAAAGGCCCGCATACGAGGTATGCTCTTCGTCGCATACTTTCTCCGAATTGCGCTTATGTAGGTTTTCACCACTCAGAAGATAAACTCGTACCATCTCGTAAAACTCACGACGGCGGGCGCGTCGCGTGCGCGGGAACGCGAGGGCACGTCACATCGGCGCGTGCGTATGAGTCTCACTGCCGCGCGCGTCGCTCGGTCCCAGCGGGGCGGTGGGGGCTGTTACGGGGGGCTACCGGGCGCGGCGGGGATGCACGGTGGTATACGCAAGAGAAGACGTTTTCATTGAAGTTTTATTTTAAAAAATGTGTCCATATTCTACCGTTTCGATAGGGATAAAAATATTTAAAAAAAATTTTTTAACTAATTATGGAAAAGTGTTCTATTACTGATACTGAACCACCAAAAAAAATTTTTGCACTGGAAAAAAAATATTCCTCGCTATGGGTTGCTGAGCCATCGAAGTAAAGTAAGTAGATACTATACCAACGCTTTAACTATTCATATTACTAACGTTTTAAGAAATAATCGATGGTTAATCGTTGTTTAGGTAATCATAATCGTTAGCAACTGATAATTTGACATGGAAGCCAGAGCAGTAAAACTTCTCGGAAAAAAAAACTCGTAGCCAGTCGATCAATCAATTAATTTTGAATTTGCTTGTTTTTCTAATTTTTATCATACCAAATTCAGCTGTACGTATTTATTTCATTTATTATAATGTATTTTAAATTTGCATATCACAATTAAATACTTTATAGACAAAAACTAAGTATAAATCACTTGTGAAGAAGGTTAGTTTCTAAGTTATAGTTTACCTATGTGTTTTACGTACAAAGTTGTTATTGAGTAAAAAAAAAGATGTATTGTTACAGTAAAATACTTTGATGAAGTCTGAACAATTTTACCTAATAACTTTTAAGATTTAACGTATATTATTCAAATCTTTATACAAATTTTTCAGCAAACAAAATGAAGAGAAGTTACAGTAACAGTTCTAGTTCGTCTGATGATGAACCCCTCATAAAAAACCGTCTAGTGATCACTAAGAATGAATTGTTCAAGAGATATGTGGAGACATGCGAATTTTGTGATAAAGTGTTTTATAATAAGTAAGCATTATAGACATAATCATATGAGAATTCTGAGAATGTACTCTAAAACAAACTGATTATACATTTTCATTGTTCTTATTACAAACATATGCCAGTGACTCTCAGTCAGTTCTTTGAACACATTCCTACACTTCTATAGTAAGTTAGGAAAGTAGTGTTAAGGATACTTATACTGATTTAGAATGTATCTGTTACTCTCGAAAATCATAATCGCTCATTGAGCAAAATATAATTCACAACGCATTGTGGTCACATTAAAATATCCACATAGCAAAATTTGTGTTATGGCACTTATGGAAACGCCCACAACAGGTTGTGGCAATTACAGAATATCCTCATAGTGAAATCTGTGTCGTGCCTGACATGCTAATCAACCTCAACATATTGTGGCAATGAAGAAATGCAGCAACCATTAGAGCCATAACACAAATTTCACTATGTGGTTATTCTGCCATTGATTTGAGGGATTGCCACAATGCATTGTGAACTTTTTTTTCAGTCAATGAGGTATTTCGATCTTTAAGCCTAACATATCTACAATTATTTGCTTACTCACTTTTCTATTTTTGTTCATAATAACCTTCAAACTACAATGAATGTTTCAAATGAATATTGGTCTTACCATTCTTTAATTTTGTCCTTAGCAAACACATTTAGATTAATTCTATATATATATAGAAATCTGATTAGATTTGTAGGATTAAATATATCTTTATACAAAATGTTTTAAATTTTCAACATTATCATATGTGGTAGTCTCTTTAAAACTTAACAACTTTTTGTTTATCTAATTTTAGGTACGACATAATGGTTCACCATGCAAAGCATATAATTATACCACTCTTACGATTGAGTATATACAAATGTCCGAAATGCAATTTCCTTTGCACATCATCAGCATCACTGGAGCATCACAAATTAATCAATCATTTGAACATCACAAACAAAAAAGACTTTATGCCTGAATTAATAAAAAGTATTATGATAAATGAACCTTGCACAATGGTTGTCAAAGAACAGTTTGAAACAACAAAGGAAGATGATATAAAAGAAGATTATATCAAAGTAGATGATACCATAAAAAAAGAGGATTTAAGAGAAGATTATATACTAGTAGATGATACGATAGAAGAAGAGGATACAAAAGAGGAAATTTTACAGAGTTTTGTGGTGAGACAACCTATCACTGTATTGACTAAAGAGTCTTTTTTAATACAGAAACAGATGTACAATGGTAAATTGGACCCTGATGATAAATTATTGAAAAGTTTTGTTGATAAAGAAGCAATTACCTTATTAAATCCGTTAGTAGTTAATAATGAAATTATAAACATATCTGATAGTGAGAGTGATGATATTGACACAGAAACAAAACCTTCCTTACCTAGCATTGAATATAATCCAATAAAAAACATTAGAATAGAGAATAGAATTAAAGATAGAATACTTTTTGAAGAAGACGATGGTGATAATGTAAATCTCAATGGAGAACCAAATCTAAATGATGTAAGCAATAATAGTGAAGTTAGTAATATAAAGAAAAATACTATAATATTAGGACAATACCCTTGCGATGAGACACAATATAAGAGTATTCATTATGATGAACTTGTGAAGCCAACAATATGTAAATGCAAGTCATGTAGCAAATCTTTTCCTAACAGGTGAGTGTTAATTTTTATTATTTTTAGTCCTTACTATAAGAACATCAAATATGTCTGGTATACTCAGTCACTGTCACGCTACCAAAAAATATACATTTTTGTAACCAATTCTGATCTGTACTTGCAATCAATTGAAATTGAAAAAAATAATTTTAAACCATTAACAAATTGCGGGTAGCTTCTTTGAAAACATAGTGAACTGGCAGATCAGTAGAAAATCCAGGCTCCAGTTTAAATTATTTAATATTCTAACAATAATTGTTTCATATCGAAACTCATTATTTTCAGGTACAACCTTATTATTCATGAAACAAATCACATTAAATTTAAAAGACGATTACCATTATTATGCCGTATTTGCGATTGGTATGTTGCGAGAGATATATGGTCCTTAAAACACCACCAATTGAAACGCCACCCTGATATAGAAATTCCCAGAATCACACCGGCTCGGTGTAAAAAATGCAATCTAAACTACATCTATTATAAGAAACATATGAAGAATTATCATCAAGCTTATTCATGCAGGTCAGCCAATTGCAGTTTAACATTTTACAATCGACAAAAATACATAAAACACAGAAAAGTTCATGGAAATCCTGAACTAGTTAATTCAGCGACCATCATGAAAAAAACTTATAATGGAAAAAACAATCAATCAATTGGACAGACTAAGAAATGTTGGCAATCGAATTTGGTGAAAGTGTGCGTATTGTGTTATAAATTCTTCAAGAGCAGATCAAATGTGCAATATAAATATTTTGGTACCGTTAATGAGATCGGTGTTAGGCAGAATTGTATGAGATGTGGAAAGAAGTTCTTCGAATTGAATCTTATTGAAGTAAGAATTAAAAAGAGGGCGAATAACAGTGTAAAGAAAAAAGTTGTTACCAACGAGGAGCGTCTGAAAATTGTTCAACAGCGTTTAAAAAAGTTGAAATTCCTGAATAAATTTTGATTCGAAATTTGGTTTCATTTAATTTAGTACAACCAGGGAGTTTTATCACGAATAATTTTACGAATTTTTTTCCTACTGCTTTAACATAAGAAATAATAAGTGGTGGTTAGAAACTATTTTGCCCCTTGATATACCTACCTGGTTTGATAGTAGTTTTTTTTATATAAAAAATACGTTAAATCTGCCATTAGCAGAATTATGTGGGCAATAAAATTTAAATAAATAAAAATATTGCAATCAGAAACAGTCCGGGCATGACTCCAAAAACTGCCGGACTCATTTTGGAAACAGTACGGAAACCTATTCTATGGTACTCAAAAGGAAAAAGTACTGCGGTATTTTTCCAGCTGAAAGATGTTTTTGTAGTCTACAGAGACCCAGTCCGGCCACACTTTTATTCATAAAAATTGGTAACTAGATTATTTAAGTACAGTGAAATTGTATACTTATCAAGTAAATAAGGAAATACTGTGTTTTTTCTTAAAAATGTAAGTGAAACTCTGATTATCTAACTTGAATTATTTAGTAATCAAACCCTGTCATATAAAACGCCTGGCAAGAATATTAGATCAATTATTATAGTTCTTTGATTGTTCTGTTGAGCTTTTTACTACATACTTACATAAAATGAAAACAACTAAAAACTTAAAATAATGAAATTCAATTACTCTTTTTAATTTCAAATATACTCATCAAAATATAGAGCGCTTTTGAATAATCCAGTTTTTTTTTCATTGTACTAGGTACCTGTTATAAGTCTACAATTGTTTTTCCAGTCCACTCTCAATGGATTAAGGTTTAAAATCAAATAAAAAACAATAATTGCTCTAAAATTCGTGCCAGGCGTTTCACATTAAATAATTTGGTTTTTTTTAAATATAATATGGGTAACTTACTTTTTTTAAGAAAAAGATAAATTTTTCCTATTACTTAATAGATATATTGACGGGCTCAATTGCGCGGTGGTAGCGTTTCTACTATTACGCCGAGAGTCTTGGATTCGATCCCAACCCAGGACAAACATTTTTGTGATTAACAGTTATGTCTGTTCTGTGTTTTCTATTTATATTATGTATATATTTGTATTCCCCCCGTTGTTTCTGATATCCGTAACAAAAGTGTCTAAGCTACTTACCTCGGAATCGGATCAATGTGTGTGATGTTGTTATTCACATTCACATATAATGTCCTAAAATGCAATATACCTACTTTAAATAATCCCTAAGTAATAAAATGAAGCGAAATATTGCCATAACATCAATGAGATGTCATATCCTATGGCTAGAGACTAAAACGGCCGCAATCATACTCTTGGCCACTATATTTTTGTCTAAAAACTAACTTGAAGCGAAAAAACATATTTAATTAAAAAGCACTGAAAATTATTTTTTGTTAATATTCAGATCGAAAAATTTTAAAGAAGAAACATTTTTTTTCAAGGTTAATTTGGTCGGCTAGCCATTTAATTGAATGGAGCCATTCAATTTCACGCCTAGTTTTCTAGTTAAATCATCATGACATTTGGACCGTTCAGCCGTCTTGCTGATTTAAAAACCGCCATTACATTTTACCATTTTATGTTGTTATTAACACTAAAAAAAAGAAATACTATTTAGTTCGTCAGTATGATAGAGAAAAATACGTATCTAATTTGTTTAGCTTCAATTTAAACAAGAAATTGTTTAGATAATATGCATTAAAGTTGAGGAGGGAGGGGTTCGCAACGTCACAGTTTTGTAGATGATGTACCAATGCGTGACGTCATGCGATTTTTAATTCAATGTATCGTCGTAATTTAATGATTACGAAAAAATAAAAAAAACACGTTTAATATTTTCAATAATCTACCTGACGGCAAACAAAGAAAAATTAGTGGTCATCCCTATTAAAGGGCTAGCCGCCCCCGTTTGGTCGGCTTATTATACCACTTGGCTGTGACATAGACACCAATGGATTTTCTAAAACATATTTTAACTTTATAAATTAAGACCTGCCTACATTATATTTACATATATTAGTCTTAAACTATAAAGTAACTCGCACTAGTTTACATTTTTTAGTTCTCCTAGTTTTTCATCTCAGAGAAAAAAACTTATACCGACTTCAAAAAAATCGTAATAATAAGAAACGACTGAAAAGAGAGAAATAATACCATAATTTTTTATCTTTAATTAAATAGGAACACAAAAAGTGGATACACCGACAATTTTTTTCGAGTTCGAAGCCAGCCATTAGTAAGAAGTAAAACAGACCTATCAGAAAATTGTTCTCTTACCATACATGATATTTTTCTTGTAAATATCTGGCACAAAAATCATCATATTTCTAGTCGTTCTTATAGTCTATAAAATTATTACTCCTTTTATAAGTTGCTTAAATTTTATTAGTTTGTATCTTCAAAACTACTGAACCGATTTTGATGTAACTTGTGCTATATCCTAAGTTGAAAGCTAAGCAATTTAACAAAAAAAAAGAGTCATTGTAATCCAAATCTGACGTAGTTTGTTAGATATCTGTGGACTGATAAACTATCCTTCATTAAGGAATTCACCAATCGAGTAAAAAGCTTTTTCAATCAGCCATCTACGCAATAATATTTTAAAACGAGTAGCCGGCAAATCTTTTATATCATTGGGTATTTTATTAAAGACAGTTGTACACATTAAGTGACTATTTTTTAAAAATTTTGAAACAGCCCTTGCTGAGTTTCTTGCCGGTTCTTTTCAGTACAGGGACTCCCGCTGTAGATTTACGAATCGATGGCATAGAGTTTCCACTTTCACGAGTCTTCGTAATACCCTAGACAGAAAAATAATTTTGTTGTGATTTCATTGTCGGTAATAAGACCAATCCAGACGTCATTGTGCGACGCTTACACAGAAGCTTAATCTAAAGGGGGACCTGATTCGAACCCGTGCGTGGGTAATTATAGACAACCCGCAGTTTGGCTGCATTTGGCACAGAGGCATAGTAGAGTAGTTGGTTAAAGTTTTTTTTACTCAAGTACACAGTTGAATATCATTTTTTATACCTACCTATAATGTAAAATTTATAATAATTTATTAAGTAATTTTAATTATGTGTTAATTGGATACCTTGACAAAGGCGTTTGATTACCCGAAACTTATTTTTATTTTAATCAAAGATCCGTGCGAATTTTGTTCAATATTTTCAATAAATAAATAATAAATTCAATATTATGGTTAAATAAAACGTAAAATAATTGGTAAAATACAAGCAAAGAGGACGGTGACGGTGGCAACCGCACTGCATTATTTATTTGTAATATCATATTTACATATTATATTTTCATCTTAAAATATTCTAGTTCAATGTTTTTTGATCGGGTGTTCTGTACTGGAACAATGCTTCGACTCTATTCCTTTTAATGTCAATCCTAGCCAAAGAAGAGCGAACAAATGCATCCAGTTTGTGACCGCCATCAAACAAAAACTAACGCGACGCGCTTGTTAAATAAAAAGTCAAATTATTTTTAACGCAGTCAAACAATACGAAATTAATATAAAAAAATTGCGCTACAGCTTACGGGCAAAAGATCTGAGTATATTAAAAAAAACAAAGTCCAGTGTACTTAGTGCAATTCTAATTTCAAATGCAACAATCAGGCCAAGTGCCTACTGTAGAGCACGTGTCTTTGTGAGTGTTGTTTGCTTATTGTGAAATGCGTTCTTATTTTAAAATAATAACAATGTTGTCACTTTCTTGAATTACCATTAATAATTATCGGATGATATGAGGTTAAAAATAACAACTTAAGTTAGAAAAAATAATTTCATAATTAAAAAAAATACATTATTGATTTTTATCTGGCCTAATTATTCAATATTATAAGTTTTTTTTTATATTTAAGATGGGTGGTTAGTATGTAGTTATTTCTTCCTAAGGGGCAGCTTGTATTATGAATAACTCCTTTATTGGGAAATAAAATATATGTGAAGTTCGATTTTGTTAAAATTAAGTCACTGTAAAAATAAAAACGTTATCAATACATAGTAAAAAACAAAGTGGCTCTCCATTAGTCTGACCCTATGCATGGTTAGATTTTTAAAACTAAGCAAAAGATTTTGTTGCGGTTTTATAATAGAAAAAAGCTAGTCATATAAGGAAAAAGAAAACAAAAGCTTAATATCTCTACATTAGTCTAATGTAGAGATATTAAGCTTTTGTTTTTTAATAATATCTCTACTAATCTCTACATTTTTATCATATATTTTTTAACAGGATGTAAATAAATAAATACACATAAGTTATTTAAGTTGTAAAGTTATTTTAAGAACAATCCGAGATATTCATTGAATCAATATATTAAAATTAATGTTTTCACAAAATACTTGAAGGGTATTCATTACGAGGATATAGATTTTATTTATGTATGAATAAGTCTCACACCAACGTCCATGAAAATTGTAATTAGTTAAAAGCGACATTACCGATACTAATTTGACATTCATTACAGCTTAAAGGCGTCGTGGACGTTTGTGCATCAGACCGTCATAGTATAAATCTTTTTAATATGTATGTAGTACAGACCGACACATGAAATGAAAATGAAAAACATCAGGTTACAACGAATAGTTCAAACTTCCTTCTTGATTATTATATATGATCAATTTTGCATGATCAAAGGTCCTTGGCCAACAGCAGCAGAATGCCAGAGGCAAAGTGGATTTTTTAAGCATTTTCATTAAGAATATTCCTTCTTGAATTAATTTAAAGCAATTGCAATGATAATTATGGATTACTTAACGTAGTAGGGCGTATGTAAATCTCTTTATTTTGTAGGTGCATTGCATGAACCCGGCACGCTCCCTTTTCTACACCCACGACTGTTAACTATACATGTTTTTTCTAGAAACAAACGTGAATAATATACGTAAATTCACTGAACGTCCATATAGTTTCGGCCTAATTAATTATAATATTCATAAAGATGCTTAGCCCAGTATGTTGCAATGATTGTTGTAGCAGTTATTTGTTCGTCAG